GTCACATAAAACTTAGTGTAAATTTAGCAAACTTGATTTATGCTTCTGTTGATATTATCATCCAAGCTATCATTCATCAAATAAAAACTCTCGAAGTGAGATAATACTGCTTAGTGAGTTAACTTTCTTTAATGACAATGATAAAGTGGGTTGTTCTAGTTCCTGATTTATTATCTTTTATCTCCACACACATCCTCTTTGCCTTGCTTCTTGACGCCAGAACTAGGCTCTGCAGATCACGTTTTTCCTTTGCCAGCTGGCTCAGGGCTAGGTTCTGCCAATAGAGGGAGCTGGAGAGAGACTGCAAGGCAGGAAGAGGAAGGGGGACCATTTTCCTTGTCCAGTATTCTGTTGCTCATCCTGTGCACCAACCCAGCGTCAAGTAGGTTCCTGCAGTAGCCACGGCCTCTTATCACAGATCTCAATTGCTGCCTTTCTTCTTGAGGTTCCTTTCTATTTTGCTTTCCCCTGAGTTCTAGGAGTCCTTCTTTCTATAGTTGCTACCTCAAATGCCTTAGATTTTCCTTTTACCTGTTTTAGGAGTTAACTATCTTAAATCTAATTGATAATTCTTTCTATTTATGTTTTCTTGTTCAAATTACTATTGTGGTTCCTATCCTGATTGTACCCTAATACAAAAATACAACAAAAATAATAGCAAAAACCAATTCAAAGCCTCTTAGTATTGGTTTCTCCTAAAGCTCTCACACAATAAACAGGAACATTATTCCCCTTCTCCTGGTCTTGTGATGGTGGGATGGGGGAAGGTGGTGGTTGGGTGAAAATGGTTTTAAACCTGTTTCACTGGACATCAGTTCTATTCTGACAGAAGAGCTTGGTAAGTATCATATATTTAGTCTTACTACAGCTTACCTGACCATAACCCCAAAGGACTGCTTAGAAATATCTAAAGCCCTTATTTGTGGAAGACAGAAGCTTGACATGATACTCAGTCATGTAAAAATCTCATGACAAAAAGAAGAAATTAACACATGTCACACTAGCTTCTTGGGTGTCAGATTTAACTACTTCCCAGTGATTATGAAAAGGATGCTGAGAACTCAAGGTCTCTTTTAAGTCTATGTATCAAAGAATATATTATGAATTTGGCAGAAAATATTGTGTACTCATGTTTGAGTATAAACATATATAAAGTATAAATGCCCAATCACCTCTACAGATCTCAATAAACTCTAGGTACTTATAACTGACCCAAAGTATGTGACAGAAGGTAATAATCTCCAGAAACAAATGATATGATAGAAGAGAAAAGAAACTTTAAAAGCGGGGTGCCTGGGTAGCTCAGTCGGTTAAGTGTCTGCCTTCAGCTCAGGTCATGATCCCGGGGTCCTGGGATTGAGCCCTGTGTCGGGCTCCATGCTCAGTGGGGAGTCTGCTTCTCCCTCTCTCTCTGCCTGCTCGCGCTCATTCTCTCTCAAATAAATAAATCTTTACAAAAAAGAAAGAAAGAAAGAAAAGAAACTTTAAAAGCCAAATGTTCACTGTCTTCTCCTGCTTGTGAAAAAAAGACTGCGTTGCATAACTAACACTTGCTTGCTGTGTTGATTGAGAGGACTGATGGTACTGGAGCTGATAGGTACAGATACAGAATTAAAGAGGCTAGATGATGAGAGTGATTTTGCTCTGCAACAGAATGAAGCCTGGGGAGCAAAGCCGAAACAAACAAAAGGCCCTTTACGTGTTGAGAGAGAAAAAAAAAGGTGGGGCAAGAGAGAAGTAGAGATAGATGTAGAAGACCAAGGAAGAGTCCAACCCAGGCGAGGTGGAGGGCTTCAGGGGGAGGTGGGGGAAATTACAATAAAAGTAGGGATGTAGGGGAAAGATATAAAGAAAAATGTAATATGCTTTCCTCTGGGATGCCTGTTTAAAACTGCCCATTGTGCCCTCAATAAAATTTAATAAAGTTTTCCATTGCTTTTCAAGATTTTTTTCTGTTTTAGTTGAGGTGGAGTATGTGTTTCTTTTGGATATACGGGAGAAAAGAGGAAAGCCTCAAGATGGCCCAGTTATATTCAAGACCCAATTGAAGAAGAGAAAAAGCATTTCCAGACTATAGTACACCTTTCTATTACACGCTTTTGTTGCATATCAGTTTTCCATTAAAAAAAAAAAATTATACAACTTGAAAAAGTAGTGAATAACTATACCTCTTTGTAGTTATATATTTGTTCCCTTCTTTCTATGTCAGATTTCATAATATAATTCAAATGTATCCCTTACTATTCAAAGATGTCAAAATAGTCTATACATTAATAGCTGGGCCTATTTAGGATATTGTGTAAGTTATAGGGTATAGTATTAAGTGTGATTTGATTATGAAAAATTATGATGATAGTGTTTGGTAGCATTATTTACATGGTCAAGATTATACTCTTCAACAAAATGACAAATACTGTAATCAAAAGGAAATACATCAAATACACATTAGTTCATGTATTTCATGCTTCCTATAACACTTACTTTTTTCAATATCTGGAACAGACATTTAACACCTGCTTAGGGGTCAGGGGATTAGATAATAGGGGGAGAACAAGATGAATAGCACCCTCTGCCATCAGTCTAATGGGAGAGAATGGTTTAAATGTGGTAGGCCAGAACTGATGAGCCCTCATAACTACAAAAAGAGTGTCTGGCATTTTATAAACTGAGGTCTTTCTGTTCTGTGTGTAAGAGAAACTATACAGGCCCTTTGAGAGCCTTCACCTTCTATGATACAAAACTACTACCTCTGAGTATTGTGGGTTCTGGTTCCAGTAATAGAAAAGCAGTTTGTATAACAAATAACAAGGAGAAACTTGGGACAAAGAGGTTTTTTTTTAAGGTGTTAAGTTACCAGGGCTGGGACTAAGGTGAGGTGAAGGAGGGCCTCACCTCAGGTACAAAATTTAAAGGGTTCCAAAAACTCCATAATCAAGAGAAATATCCTAATGCACTATATTTTAAAAATCAAAACTAATGCAAAAACCCCATAATGAACATAATACCAAAAAGTTTTTTGAAGATTTTATTTATTTATTTGAGCGAGACAGAGCTCACACAAGCAGGGGGTGGGGCAGAGGGAGAAACGGACTCCCAACTGAGCAGGGAGCCCCAGTTTGGGCTCAGGGCTTGATCCCAGGACCCTAGGATCATGACCTGAGCTGAAGTCAGACGCTTAGCCAACTGAGCCAACCAGGTGCCCCATAAAACCAAAATGTTAAATAAAAATAAGATCAGTGTTACTGATTTTTTTTCCTTTAACCTCTTGTTCTAATATGGATCAGCACAGTACTCTTATGATCCTGTCCTTATTTAAAATTTGACACTTTTTTTTTTTTTTTTGACAGAGAGAGAGACAGCAAGAGAGGGGACACAAGCAGGGGGAGTGGGAGAGGGAGAAGCAGTCTTCCCGCGGAGCAGGGAGCCCGATGCTGGGCTGGATCCCAGCACCCTGGGATCATGACCTGAGCCAAAGGCGGCCGCTTAACAACTGAGCCACCCAGGTGCCCCAACACTTTTCTTATTGTGGATTTTTGCATAAGCCAGTAACCCAGAATTAGGATGAAGGAAGTTCTCTGGGCTCTGTGAAGGAGGTTGTTGCCCAGGAGAAATGATGCAAAAAAAATGAATGGGAAATTATCTCTGCCCCATCTAAAGTAATCACAGTTATTCCTCTGGAAAGTGTCAAAAATGTGAATGGGAATGTTATCATTTCAACAGTGACGAACGTTTCCTGACCATTAAGGTTAAGTACCAGTTTCATGTCTTAGCCTGGCATTTGGTGTTTGGCCTCGTCTGGAATAAGTCTAGTTTGGAACACGAAACAACAACTTGACAATCTGAGCCAAAACCACGGCAAAGGGAATATTTATCTAGTGTGCCACTGAGGAGAGTCTCCAAAAAGTAGGGAAAATAATCTTTCAGAACTGGCCTCCCTCTGAGGTTATCTGAGTGCAGTTCTACAGAATCTGGTAATAGGGATGTGGGATGGACCCAGAGTTGCTCTTTCAGATCCCCCTCGAGAAAGTACTTCCTGCCCAGAGCAGGGACTCCAGGGTTCACATCTGCTGTAAGGAACCACCCTCTGTGCTCAGGCCCTTTCTCAAGAAAGCCCATGTCCGCTGAATGAGCAAGGCAGGACTTGAAAGGCCCCAGCATTTCGTCCAAGGCAGAAGAACTATAAAGGGCAATAGTCCCTTCCTAGCTCCTGCTGCATTGGTCAAAGATTTGCTAGCCTGTGTCAGTTCAATTCCTCCCCCTGCCCAGTCCAGCTTCCTCCCTGTCCTTTCACGCCTTGCACTCGAAAACCCATCTTCACGTTTGCCTCCAAAAAACCCGACCCAAGAGAGGCAAACTGGATGACATTTTTGTTTTTATAATTATTATTTGAACAACAGAAAAACTTATGCAAAAAAAAGAATAAATATCCAAGTCTATTTGTAAGATATCTCTTTGAGCACTCTCGATTTAGATCTGAATTATCATAGTTATAATTAGCGTGCATATGTGATTTTGGATTTAGATTTTTCGATTGATATTAACATAAATACCTTATAGCAAATCCATCCACATATTTGTCTTTTGTAATGCCCTTGTGGTATTCCATGGTGGATTTCTTAACTGTCTCCAAATTTATGGCCTTAAATTGTTCCCTACTTTTTTCGCTGCTTAAAATAGTACTGTTATAAATATTTTTGTACAAATTGCTTTCTTTCTTTTTTGATTAAGTCCTTTGACAATTGCTTTCCTAGAGTTGGCCCAGAGTCTTATGAATATCAGCACTGGGGCCAGTTAGCAGAGGAGAAAGGAAGAATAAAAGGGAAAAGAATGAGTTCTCACATAACCACCAGCTTTTCCTTTTTCATATGTAAAGGATGTATATAAATGGAGTGTATATAAATCTAGAACAACCTGAAATTCCATCAGGTCCTGGATAATTTCATTTTCCCTATGAATCTTCTTGAATAACCCTACTCTACAGTAATGTGTACTGTGAATATGGATATTGAATTATTTATTTGTAGCACCATTACCCAAATCCAGTTCATAGAATATCAGTTCACCAATGTTTATTTACTATGAAGGATAAAAGTTCAGAAGAGGAACAATCTGAGGAAATGCTCCACATTAAGTAATCTTCTTGAAGATTAATAATGAAGAGGGGTATATAAAGGCAGAATTCTTGCAGCAAAGAAACATAAAAATTTTATTTAATCCACTATCCAGTACAATTAATATTATAAGAAAAACAGTTCATGAAACGATGGCATGCATGGTATCCATAAACAAAAACTTTTAGGAGAACTTTTATACATACACAGATAATATACATGTAGCTCTTTTCCTAGAAAAGCCCATTTATGCTATTCCATTAGTACCCCCTCCAGCACCTTCCACCCCCCCATCCAGGAAAATTTTAGATGTTTTGCAAAGGTTTATGAAGTTACATTAAACATCTGTTAAAAATCACTTTGTTCATTGCTAGACATTTATATAATACAGTTTTAAAGAAAGATAACAGCTGAGGAGAGCTACAGAAAAAAAAATAGAACTTATGCTGAATTATTTTTTCTTGTACATATGAAGTTTCTCTGTGAGAACAAGAGCACTCAGCAGATGTACAGATCCATTATCTTTTCACATGGCAATATGTTCCTCCTTTCAGAAAATTTGAGCAAGTTTGGAACATAAAATATTACAAACAGGCTGAAATACAAAGCAGAGAAAATGAAAATGATTGGCAGAAAGTCATGGAACAGTCAGAAAAGATATGATAGGTGAGCTTTAATCTGGGCATTAAGCATTGCCATTCACCATTTAGTGAGGCATCCAAATATACAATAATCCTGCTCAATATTTGGAGGAGCAGATTCCCAGCACATGTATCCCCATGTTCCGCCTACGTTAACACCACGTGACAATGGTTTTCGCATCCTGTCATTCCAGCCTGACTCTCTCAAGGCTCATGAGATCTTTGCATGGCTCACATAACCTGTGTATTCAGAAACAGGTGTTTGTAAACGTGCATCTGGTGATAAGTGGCAAAGATAGAAGATGAACGTTCTGGGTCGTTCTACTTCATTCATTCCCACTTGGTGCCGCCACCATCGACTGCACTGTTGCAGATAGGACTCCACAGGCTTCGGAATGCCCCTCCTCCCTCGAAATTCCAAGTTGAATTTCTCTTCGTATGTTTAGACATTCATAAAGTTAGGACTCAAGAAAAGATTTTAAAGATCAAGGCTGACCGATCATCTTACAGTTGAGAAAATTGAGAGTCAGGAAGTTGAGAGCTTTTGCCCAGATTCAGGAAATGAATTTTGTGTAATTTGTGTGAAAATAGAGTCCCTTGGCTCCTACCGTAATTTTTTTTTTCCACTGCATTATTCTAAGAAACTTTGGAAGTGTAGTTAAAACAATATTGCATTATAGTTAAAAAGCACAAGTTCTGGAATTAGGAAGACCAAGGTAACAAAAGGAATATTATTTAACCTCTTTAAGTTTATTCATTAGTAAAAGGATTTTAATATTCTGTATGACCTAGTATTATTGTCTGTTTATACTAGTTAAGTGCCAAAGAACTATTAACTATTATCATGATTACATATGTAAGTAAAATCCATTTTCTCTACGTGACCATAGTCTTCAAAAACTGTGATAGATTTTTCACAAATGTGTAGGTTAGTCTCTGGTAAATGATAAGCCAGGTGTCCTATCCAAAATTCATGCGGACTTCTGCTTCTTGGAGGATGAATCGGGGTGCTTTTCCCTATTCCTCCCACTAGGCACAACTAAAATTCCTGGACGTTATATATAAAACAAACAAGAAGATTTTGAAAAGTAGGAAGAAGAAGGCAGGCAAACTAGGGAACTTAGAACTCAAGGAAGTATACGGTGAATTCCCTGGACTTTCTTCTCCCCTCACACATCCCAGACTGGGTACTGAAGAATCCCAAAACACTAATGACACAGAGCCAAAAAATAAAGCCCCCAGAACAGTCTGCTCTCCCTTGCCAATGGACCAGGAAAGGGACAGCCTAGCACGGCAGACGACATTTAGACAATAGCCATTCTACTCCAGCCAAATGCGCAGAAAACACTGCCGCCCCACTCCCCCCAGAGCCAAGACTTTCACCCTTGCCCACCTGTAGGGAACACTACAACTCTCTCCCCACCACCAGGGTGGTGTCCGAGAAGGCAGAGTGGGAAGCTGAGACTTTCATCTCCCGCAGGTGGTAAAGAGGATCCCCTTCCATGGCATCAGTGTGATGTGAGACGGGGTGGGGGGAGGTGAGGGGAGGCTTGGACTCCCACCCCCACCCAGAGGGAATAGGCACCCCTCTTTCTCCCCACTGTGGCGGTGTCAGAGAGGGCCTAGTAGAGAGTCAGGACTTTCACCACTGCTCAGTGCTGACAAGATGGCCCCAACAGTGCCAGTGGAGGCAATGTGGAAGGCAGTGAGATGTCCCTCCCTGTCGCAACCAGTGTGGTATCAACAGAGGCCTGGTGGGGAAGTGATTTTTGACCAAAGTGCAGAAGCAGTTCAATGGAAAAAGAATAGGCATTTCAACAAATGGTGCTAGAACAGCTGAGTATCCACAGGCAAAACAATATAAACTTCTATCTAAACCTCAAACTTTCACAAAAATTAACCCAAATCAGATTTAAATGTAAAATAGAAAACATATAAGACTTTTAGAAAATTGGGGGGACCCGAGGCTTAGTGAAGAGTTCATAGACATGACACCAAAAATATAATCCATAGAAGTGAAAAAACAATAAATTGATCTCATCAAAATTAAATTTTTGGGGGGGAAAGATTCTGTTAAGAGGATGAAAAGACAAGCTACAAGAGTAAGAGAAAATATTTGCAAACAAATCTGACAAAGCACTCATCTAGAACTTGTAAAACTGAGCAGTAAAAACAAATAATCCAATAGAAAATGGGCAAAAAACATAGAGACATTTCACTGAGGAGAATATATGGATGGCAAGTAAATGTGAAAAAATGTTCAGCATCACCAGCTATTAGGGAAACGCGAATTAAAGCCGTGATGAGGTATCACCGTAAACCTCTTAGCATGATAAAATATAAAAATAGTGCTAATACTCAATGCTAGCAAGAATACAAAGATACTTGGTCAGTTATACATTGCTGGTAGGAATATAGATGGTACAGCCACTCTGGAAAACAGTTTGAAGTTCCTTAGAACAATTAAACATATACTTACCACATAATCCAGCAATTGCACTCCTGGGCATTTATCTCAGAGAAATGAAACATTATTGTGGCAGCTTTACTGTAAGAGCCCCAAACTGGAAACAACCAAAATGTACTACAGTTTAATAATAAAAAGAAATGAACTATGGATATACACAACTTGGAGAGATCTCAAGGACATTATGCTAGGTGAAAAAAAATTTTTTTCAAAAAGGACATAGACACTGTGAGTCCATTTATATAATATTCCTGAAATGACAAAATTATAGAGATGGGAAACAGATTAATGGTTGCCAGAGGTTAGGGGTGGTGTGGGGGAGAGAACTGGGTGTGGCTCTAAAGGGGTTGCAGGAGGGAGATCTTTGTGGTGATGGGATAGTTCTCTCTTTTGATTGCGCTGACGGCTACAGGAGCCTACACATGAGAAAATACAGAATTACATGCATACATCGTGTCAGTATTCAAGTCCTGTCATTGATACTGTTTTATAATTATGTAAGATGGACCAATTGTGGGGGAAACTGAGTGAAAGCTATACAGGTCCTCTGTCTATTTCCTTTGTAATTTCCTGTGAGTCTATAATTATTTCAAAATAAAGTCTGTTTCATTTTAATTTCATTTGGGAGGCGTTTCTGGGGAGTGACTGAGGCTTCTAGTCAGAAGAGCCGTGGACTGCCAAGGGCATTTGAAAACAAAGTACAACGCAAAGGAAGGTTGGCTACCAACTAAGAAGAAAGGCTGTGTACAGAGAGATTTTTGTGGTAGAGAAAACAATCATTCCTTTCCAATATGAATCTCAAGTATATTAATGTTTTTTAACCCTTGACTGCAGATTAGAACTAAGTGCAAAGTTTTTTTGTTTGTTTTTTTAAGTAGGCTCCACACCCAGCATGGAGTCCAACGTGGGGCTTGAACTCACGACCCTGAGATTGAGACCTGAGTAGAGATCAAGAGTTGGACGCTTAACTGACTGAGCCACCCAGGCGCCCCAGAACTAAGTGGAAAGTTTTTAAAATGTTCAATGTCCAGCCCCGTCTCTGGTGATTCAGACTCTTTTGGGTTAGGGTGATCATAATTATCCTAGATGATTCTGCAGTGCAGTCTGGACTAAGGAACACCATATTACACCAAGGAATGTAACATTAGTTTGGTGTCTGAAATTTGTCACCATTTTGAACCCTGTAAAAGAAAAGTAAACCCAAAGATTTATATTATTCCAATAAGGAATTTATATTAAGGTTAGTTACTGAGCCCCTGAGCTACCTATACCTTAATGAAGCAATATTCAGATCCCTGGCAGTTTAAAAATAACACAGGTGTTTTTTCAATATGCTGTATTAAAACAAGAAATCAATATTTTATCTTTTGAACGTCAGTGATTCTCTCAAGTAATCTTTTTACTTTTTTGTGGCCGTGAATAAGATGCAAGAGAAACATGCTTTAAATTTCAGGAATTAATCTGTGATAAACTGCTTCTAGAAGGGGCAATTCTAAATTGTGTAAACCAAGGTAAATAGCAGCAGAGATCTTTCATATTGCCCAGGATAGCAGAATGACAAATGTGTTCTATAAAAAGGATTTGACCCAAATTTAAAAATTAAAAATTAATAAGCTTTATATTAATTACTATAATTATGAAGGGTTATCAAAATTCCACATTAATATCCGATTCAACTTTATTTAACAATAGTTCATGATGCTCCTAAGCACAACTGGATATTACAGATGATATATAACTGAGATCTAGAGCAGAATCCTGGAAACAGTATGGGACCTGAAATAGAGGGCTTCTCTTCACGTCCCTGCTACTCTACTTACTGGTTATTTGACCCTAGGTGAGATCCTTATCAGTTTCCTCATATGTAAATTTGAAATAATAATATTCTGAAGAATGAAAGAAATAATATAAGAAAGCACTTTAAGTTACAAAATGCTAACCACTTTGCCATTGTCATAATTATTACCATTTTAAAAAATCAGTTCTTAATTATTAGCTGCCCACTTAAAGGTCTGTGAAACTGACATTTTTTTAAAAGCTGTAGTTTATATAAATAGAGCAAATTTCTCATGATCAAAACGAGTGTGTGGTGAATGAGTCGTTAATTGAAGGGTGATGGTTCCAAATTGCAAATGGCTTGGACATATTTGCTGACATTGATGGATCCTATTAACTATAACTCACGAAAGTGGCCAGCTCCCTTGGCAAATGCAAATACTGTATGCCTTTTACAGTTTTCCTTTTAGAAACCTAAAAGATATATTTTATTTCTATTTCTAGCCTTTCCATTAAAGGGCACTTTAGCTGTGGTGCTGCTAAATTCTTAAGCTTTACATTTAGGAGCAAAAGATCTCTAACAGCAAACACCTACCTGTCACTATTCGACGCCCTGAAACAAATGCAGAGGGCCACAAGGATATCTGGAAGAATTTCAAAATGTCCATAGCTGTACCAATTGGAAAGTAAGAGCATGATATTGAATACTGTGAGAATAAATGCTCATATAAACATATTTTTAAACTTCACAAATATAAAATTATAAAATAATTCTAAATAATAATTGCAAATAAGCCTTCATGAACAATTTATAAGAACACCTGAATAATAATCTAAGAGCTAGCTGTCTTAAATATTAAAAATCATAAATAGTATTTTATTGAGATAATTTTAGTATTACCCATAAATTATAACCTTTAATTAACAGTAATATTTTTAATATGCAAGTGTTGGGGGCTTGCCTTACTTTCCATATTTAAATATGTAACTAATTTCATGTTTCTATTTCAAAAATACTAATTCCTTGTCTTAAGGAAAATTACTGTTAAAAATTAACACCATTTAAAGTCCAAACATAAACTTGTGTGATTCCTCAATATCCATCATTTTCTATCCTGCAGCTATTTTTTTTTTCTCAAGTTGAGATAGATATCTACTTCAAAGTATACCTGTAGAGTTATATGCAAGTAATAGGCAATGTGATTTTATTGGATTGTCTGTTTATACCCCCTCTGCTTTCCAAACAGGATTACAATGCCCTATTATAAATAGCTGCACCATAGCAGAAGATAGTCACAGAAACTGTGATAAGTAGAAAATGAGTGTAGGAAAAGTAAGTTTAAGTTCAAAGTGAGGTTAGGATGCATATGGCTCAGTTTACTTGCCAGAGAAAGACTACAAATTTAGCTGAAGGGAAAAATATGATTGGCTGATAATACATGGGGTCCAAATGCTCAGGAGATGTGGTTATTTCTGGTGCTGACATCTGGTGCCAAGACATCTCTCCCATGCATCATTATAAAGTGAACCCTCTTTGAGATAGTAAATGGCACCATCAACAACACATCTCTATCTCTACACTAATACTGTCATAGGCCTTTTCTTATAATATCTCCCTAAGCTGGCTGATGCTGTAGCATCAAAGGCCAGGAAAACTAATTCTACAGGAGCCACAAACATGTAGAACAGGGACCCAGCTCCCTAATGGGCAAGGTAGAACAAGACTTGGAACCTAGCCAAGTAGCTAGTGGCAAAGTGACTCCATTTTAATCTATAATTTTGAAGTTAACTAGAGGAAAGTATGACCCAGATAGCCAAATGCCCAACTATCATTTATTTGCAAATAAATTAGAATAAGGGCAGAAATATTCCTTAAGCCTTCTATGCTACATAACTTCTTCATTTTTCTTTTAATATGTAGTAAAGACTATGAGTATAGAACTTATAAAGTAAAAGACAGAAAAAGGGAAACTATTAATAGGGAGTTGGATTTTGAAAATAAAAGAAAATGAAAGTTGTGGGTAATGAAAAAGAAAAGACTCATTTAGTATATTAGTATTGGTATTTCATACCAAATTTGATGCCAAGAAGAAAAGAAGAAAAGCCAATACATACAAATTAAATTGTACAGTAACACTGAAAGAGATGGAATAAAATAGAAAAGGCCCACATTTCTTTTAACCGGACATTCAAGGTAAAAAAACAAATTACCTAAAAATCAGGAATGGATATTCATGAACACATACTAAAATATCTATACATAGACTACCAGTGAAAAATACTCTACACTGTTCCCATGTCTTGATCTATATCTCTTATCAGAACCTGGAGAACAGATTGGATAGTGGAGGAAAGAAGACTTTATAGGTCAATTTACATAATCTACTTGTCTAATTTTGTGAATAGGCTCTAGGAGATCTTATGTATTACATTGAAAACTAGGTATTTCCATTCAGAACTTACTGCCAAGAAAATCAAGACTTGAGCACTAGCCAAACAAAGAATTACAAAGGAGGCTACAGGTAAATCCCAAGATTAATTCATGTCAAACCAATTAAATCAGATGTCAATAGTGTCCAAGAAAAATCACTGGGGCATATAATGGACTTGACTCAAAATTTAAGGAGTGAAGGTAGAAAAATTGTCCTTGCTTTTGGCTGAGAGAGAATGGAAGGAAGTTGAAGGTTGACAAAAAAAAATGGAAGCTAAAGGGAATTCAAGTGATGCTAAGTAAAGCAAGGCAAAAGGAGATGAGAGATAGTTTCCCCCCCCAGCTTTCTATGCACAAGCTAGCTACCAACTGGCCTTTGTCTTGTGTAGGTGTTTGTAAGTCTTAAACCAGCCAATGTGCCCAGACTTTGTAGAACAAGATGGGAAAGAAAGGCACATTTTGGGACTGAGAGAAGAAATTAGCAAAATACACAAAAGGAATATTTTCATGATTATCCAGAGACAGAGACACCAAAAGATGCCTTAATATGTAGAAATGTGTAGTTCCCAAATGGAAAAATTCCTGAGGTAATGAATAAAAACAAACGTGGAGAGGTAGCTCCCAAACTGGAAAGGGGACCCAGAGACCACAGTAAAGGGAAAGAGCCCAAGAAAGAGATCATGAAAATGAGGGAGAGAAGGAACTATGCGGTAGGAGGGAGAAAAGGGCCAGAAGAAGGAAACTACACAGGAATTTACCTTACGCTGGCTGTTTGGCACTGTACAGCCTAACTGACTATTTGAATTACCAAGTCTCTGACAAGGTTCCCCTTTTGCCAACTTTTCCCTGAGTAGGAACAGGGTAGAAATCCATAAGGCACATTTAAATATGGTGGGGGCTGGGGCAAGTGGATTGTGTAGCCTTGCTAGAATACTGTTGATTTTAGAATCAATTTTATTATAGGGAAGAATCATCTTGGTCCCTCTCCTGGAATATTTACTTAATGAAATTCAGAAAAACCACATCTATAACACTCTCAATTATAAGGCAATCTCTTAAGTGGATCCGGAAGATATTATCATAATTAAGTTCCAGAGTGTGTATTAATACAAAATCCTGGTAAATAGAATTCTTCTCATAAAAGAAGTATCCCTGTAGATAAACTCCAGAAGCATTACTGAAAACTTCCCCTGTATGGGAATATGCCAGGATGGGAGGCTACTAACAAGAGAATTTTGCTTTTCCTTGCAGATCATAAAGCTCGGTTGAAGTGACAACCAGAGGAAAAGCCCACAAACAAGTACAGTATGATGAGATGCTGGGAAGAGAAAAACTGCAAAAGGTAAGTTATCACTTACACCTGCTTCTGTTCGAAGACTGAAAGCACATGGAAGGAAGAGAGTAACTTGATAAGAGCAAAGTGAATCATTGGCTGGAATTAAATTCGAACTGGGTCTTGAACTGTTGGTCTGGGGGAAGAGTGACTGACAGGTACTTAATTAGAAAGGAACTCCGTGAGCAAAGGTACAAAGGGGAGGATGTAAAAGATGCATATAAGAGACAATAATCAAGAGGTAATAGAAGAGATGCCTAGAGGAATAGAAGACGACCTTGGACAGCAATGAAGTAAACAGTTGATGGAAAGAGCTTTAAAAATAAACATACAGGAGCCAAGAAACGGATATGATGAAAATATTGAATTTCTTTTTCTTTTGGCTTTTCACAGGTTAAACAGTCACCTAAGATTACTGGTGACAGATGCCTGCTAACAAGGGGGGAAGCAACATTTAGGAGATTCTTTGGAGACTGCAACATTGCTGATTTCACACTGCAGAAACAGCAACCAATTAAACACAGATACGTGAAATGTGCGTGTGCGCATGTGTCTTGTTGTCATCACTGTCTTTGGAGGAACTGGTTTATGCCCAGTAAGTTACCTCTGGGAAAATAAGTTAGCGCTTACGTCATAGTGAATGTGGAGTGGAATCTGTTCACTTGTGGCTTTTTATGAGACTTCCATTTCATATGTAACAAGGCAGAATTTAGAGATTAGGGATGTCATTGAAATATTGTTTTAGATTGCTGGAGGAGTACTCTAGAGCTACTGTGATAACTCCAACTGCTGATTAGTTTTATTTAATCATATTTTTAAGATCTAATATCTCAAGAAATACAGAGGACAAACTGATGGTTTCCAGAGGGGAGGGAGTGGGGGAGGGGCAAAATGGGAGACACAGACCTCCAGTCATGGATTGACTAAGTCACAGGGATAAAAGGTACAGCATAGGGACTATGGTCAGTGGTGTTGTAATAGCGTTGTATGGGGACAGATGGCAGCTACACTTGCGGTGAGCACAGAATAACACATAGACGGGTGGAATCACTACATTGTACACCTGAAACTAATGTAACACTGTGTGTCAACTATACCTCAAGTAAAAGAAAAAGCTCAAATGTTAAAAAAAAAAAAAAAAAAGAGAGAGAGTGAGAGAGAGAATTCTCTTGAGGTTGGATCAGAGGAAGATACTATAATCCTTAGATTAAATTATAGAATATCTTATAAAAGGATGAACTTAAAGCTCCATTCAACTTTTTTTTTACGACCCTACTATCAAAGTAATAACGATTGCATATTTAGCACTTTCACAGTGTGAAAGGTGCTGAATAACATTCTTTAAAAAAAAAAGCAAAAGACACTGTCCTCAGATGCAGAAATCTGTGGAAATGCTATGTAAATATTTGAGGTCAGAATTTGGTTTGAAGTGTTCAGAAAAAGGAACGAGATATTTAAATGAGACAAATGGCTTACAGGCTTAATGGAAACAGATGGATAGCAATTAGAGGGAAAGCTAAGCTGGAAACCCCACTGCAAATAGTTCCGGGCTGGAGAAGAGCAGATGATCACAGACCCGGGATGGGAGGACGGAGAAAGGATACGGAGAAGTTGCTTACTCCAGCTCTTGTTCAGCCTTTGATTGTAAGTAAAAAAAATAAATAAATAATTAATTAAAAAAATAAAAAAATTAAAGAAACTTAAGAAAAATAGTTAGGCAGTGCTACCGAATGAGAGCCAAATGACAGTCATAGTATCTCTATCATTATATTCTTTCTTTCCTGCTTTCCACCACCCTCCCTCTCCTTTTCTTCCATCTCCCTATTCACTTCTCACAAAAAGTCAGAATCTGTTTTACAGCTTTGTCATTTTCATTTTGTCAGAAAGGGCCACAGACTTCCTCAAA